AGAGAGAGAGAGAGAGAGAGAGAGAGAATATTAAATGGGTTCATTGTGAGTGGCAGATATCACATGTAGCAACTATCTAAATTGATGGATTCACTGCATGGTGAAGACATCACCAACTCTGAAATATTTTTCCATTGACAGAATTCAGTGACCCAAGATTCCTCCTTGAGTTTTAAATGTTCCGTAGTTTAGACATTTGTAACTCCAACGGGATGACAATCATGCCTCTGCCATTCTTCACCTGTGTAGCTGGCTGCACTGAAGGAAATGTGCAGCTCTGGAGCAATATAGTAGATGGGCTTGGTATTGATGAAGAGATTAGATGTCATAACAAACAGGACTTGGGGACTGGAGAGGTGGCTTGGTGGTTAAGAGCACTGGCTGCTTCTTCCGAGGACCTCAGTTCAATTCCCAGCACTCACACCACAGCTCACAACCATCTGTAACTCCGGTCCCAAGAGATCTGATGCCCTCTTCTGGCCTCCATGGTCGCCGTTTTCCCTGTGACACCTTTAGACGGAGAATACAACAGCTCTGACTTACCGTTCCCTGTGCTGCTCATTTGCAGATCTCAGAAAATTTCCACTGTGACCTGAACTCCGACCAGTTCAGAGGGTTTCTGCGAGCTCACACGCCCTCAGTGGACCCATCAAGTCAGGCAAGGTCTGCAGTGTTCTCAGTCACCTACCCATCCTCAGACATCTACCTGGTTGTCAAGGTAATTCCGCACAATCTGAGCTGCGTGCTCTGACATTTGCGTTGTGGTCTCACTCAGCAAAGCTGAAAGAAACCACGAAACAGGCCTGAGTGTCCTCTGTGATGTTGGGTTGTTCCCTTCTCATCAACACTTCCCTTTCTGGTAACTTCTCTTGGGACACTAGAAAGACTGGGGGTTGGAGGTCTCATGGTCCCAGATTGCTGTCCTGACTGTGCAGTCAGAAACTGTGTGGCCTGCTGTGACTCAGACTTTCTGAGACTTGGTTTCCTCATCTGTGTAGTGGGAGTGGTTACACTGACCTCCATGAGTTGTTGCAACTTCAGATAAAGCCTGCTCCTTCCTTACTAAGGAAATCGCCTTCAGCCATCCTGCTGTGGAAGGTTGCCATGGTGAAAGGGCCACACGCTCTCAGACAGTCTCCCGGTGGTGGTCCTGTTTCTCCAGGACCCACAGGGCAGCATCCCCAATCTAGCCTCTGACAGACAACTTGAGATGTGACTTCAGTCTCCAGTGTGC